TAACTGCTGCAGGGGGTTCTGTTCCAATGAATGGTTCGTTTCAGACGTGTCACCGGCTGAGTTTACCCGCCCATGGTTGCCAAGTCGGCCACAGTGGTGTTGTGAACTTTTCTGGGGGTGTGGACGCTCTAGTTTTTTTACACGCTTGCTGCCAAGTCCTAAAATACCTTCTGCTGTAACTCCTGCTTTACTCTTACTGCGTTGCCAGGATCCTCTGCCCTATGTTGAAGAAGTGCTGGAATTAAGTTAGGAGAGGCTTTCAGCTTGCAAAAAGAAGACCCTGAAAGCTGATCAGGCCCTTGCTTTTTTTATACGGGAACAGGAAGTCAGATCACAAAGCTGAGAGGGAAATTTAGCGAAAGGGGGAAGGGAAGAGACATTCTTTGCATAGCCCCTGTCAGCTGAACTGCGGCGGGGCTGGGTGAGGGTCACTGTCTCGTCAGGCTCAGCCCTGCCTTTGCCCGGCTGAAGCTGCGGAGCCCGGGGGTTAGTGGTGGGATGTAAGTGACAGCAGGTGCAGCTTCGTGTCCTTCCCAGCATTCAGGTGAGACAGAAATTTAAGATGAGGCTTGAAATTCACTGGGATGAGATAGGGACCAGTCTGTCTTCATGAGGCGTGTGTATTTCCAGCTTCATCCAGGAGCGCCTGTACGAGGATGTTCTTGTCTTTACCTTCCCTGTCTGTATGTGGTATGCGCACTGGCTAAATTTCTGTGCCTTTTCTTCCCAGGACTGTCAGTTTATTAATGAAGTCTTACATAGTGTTCCAAGAAAAGTGGCATGAAAGCTTAAGATAGCATCTTAAAGATGCTGGAGTCGCTTGTTTAGGAAGACTGTGGAGTGTAAATGGTCCCTGAAATAAACCCAAGTTTTGGCGTAACAGCAGTGGTTGTTGCCTTTTTGTGAACTGTATGGTTATGATCACAAGTCAGATTTTGAAGTGATTCCTGTTATTGCAGGCAAAAATGTTTCATCACTTTTCATCGATATAATAATGTGCCTATTTGCTATTTCATACAGAATTGTGAACTTGTATGCAAGCAATGAACAGCCTTTAATATTTTCTGTAAACATACATGTTCATGAAATCTAAGATATTACATACCTTATATGATCAAAATACATGCTTTATTTTGATCTCTTTTACCTTTATTATTAAATACATTAGTCATCTATGCAATTTTGAAACAACTTACTAGGAAAGAATAGTATAGAATGGATGCAAATTAATCTGTTTGGGTTTTTTTAAATTGTGAAATGTTCCACTGTAAGGTTGCACTGATATTTTGTTTACTTAATTTCATTTGGAAAATCACTATTAATAAAACAAGTCTATCATTTTCTAATGTGTATAATATTTGATTATAGTTACAATTGTTTTCTCCTTTATTTTTGGTGTGTGTGCAAATATGTGGCGGTAGATTACTGCACAACAATATTCCTGTTACGTAGTTTGAGGGATTTTTATGCTGGTGCTGAAATTGTAATGTAGACATAGCTCCCAACAAAGGAACAAGGCTTCTGGTAATCTTAACAGATCATTCAAGGAGCTCTGTCACCATCTGCTCTACAATCCACGTTTGAGCAGGAAAAAAAAGAGAAAAAAAAGTTACTTCCTGAGCAATCTGTTTGGTGTGCTATTAAGTGGGAGGGTTATGTCTTTCAGCACCCTAGCTACAGGGAGTTAATTGTCCTTTAAATCTCTCCTCCTTTCCCAGGCAGTGTAAAACTTACCACCCAATCTTCTTGCATTTACTTCACTATTGTGCTTTCTTTTAGGCAACCTGCCCAAGCATGCAGCGCTGCCCCTGAATCGGCACTTGAGCTGAAGCAGATCGGTCATTGTCCCGGCCTTTCCAATCTTACCCAGGTCACCATGGTGCCCTTGGGGCACTTAGCCAAAGGGGCTACTTTGGAAGATCTTCTTGAAACCTGCATTCAGTCGTTTGGTGAGTGTCTGGAGGTTTTTAGAATTGTGTGGATTTGTTCCTATCCTGGCTATGTTTAGGTCACTTACTGGTGAACGACACTGATTTATTAGTGGAGTAGAAAGTCATAACTGAGAATTTCTATGCTGTAGGTGATCACATATTTTTGTGGGTTTGTGGATCTGTTTGTGTATATGTGTGTAATATATACGAAGAGATTAGTATGACTACTGCTTTTTCTTGAGAGAATAAGACAAAGGCTAGTGTGTGTTTTTTGTTGTTCCTTCAGGTACCAATTTGGTAAACTTTAGCAAGTAATCATTGTATTTTGCATATTGCAGTAATATTATCATGATATGTGTAAACAATGTGTTTATATTGAACATTTTGAAATGAGCAGGACTATTTTTAAACTAGGTGAAATAACACTGTATTGCTTCTTGCATTATCAGTATAGATTTAAAGTTGCTTCTCTACAAAAGAGACAGAATGCAAACAAAAATGACAACTGTATACCTTTTTGAGCCTATCAGTTATCCATTTGTCTTTGTACAATAAGAATTGTAATATATGGACAAGCATGACTGTTGCCTGAGCCCTATATCCCTAGTTTCCTTTCCCAAATCTTTCATTAGTAAATGTTTCTTTTTTTATATTGATAAAATATGTTAGTACTGAAGGCATTCAAAATGATTCTGAATAATTGCTTGTAAGCAGTACATCTGTTTGTTAATGTTGTGTCTTTCAGTACTACGAGCTATTCCCAAAACAGATGTGGCAAAGTGTTAGATGCAGGGTAGTCCTTAGAAAATAAATGTACTTGAACACCCACTAAGCTCTAAAATAATTAATCTATACAGTTAAACAGTAACACATATTGCTGATCTAGTGATACAGCACATAAATACTGTATAAACAATGACTAATCTTTCACATTCATTGGAAATGCTTTTTTTTAACTTTAGAGCCTTCTAATCGGCATGTGCAGAGAAATGCATGTTTGAGAAAAGCTGATGAAACGTGTAATCGATTGTCAGTAACGTTTTATTTCTTTTTGGTTTTTTTCTCTCTTACATTTAATTATTGTAAAGAACATATCCACTGAACTGTTATAAAGCCCTAATTCCTAAACAAATGTCGATTCATATTTTTATAAGTTTTGGCTCGCTGGGAATGAGGCAAGACATCTAAAGCATGTGTAGACTTCCATACAGTTTTAATATTGTGACTATTTGAACAATATTGTGCCCACATTTTTATGAAAAAAAGGTATTATAAATTTAACATTATAAAAACCTAGTAAAATGATTACAGTGATTGATTTCAATTTAGTGCAGCTGAAACCCTGAATGAGGGATTATTGTTGACTTATTTTATTACATTTTTAATACTTTATGTATATCAGCATACACACACTTATGTGTTCTCAGATTCCTGGGCATCCATATATTATAAGTACTAAGGTGACAAAGAAAAGCAAGTGTACCTGTCCAGTTCAGCTAGATATGCATGTGAATCTTTCTGAAGGCTTTTATATTTCAGTTAGAAAATTTACCATAGTCCACTAAATAGGGTTTTCTTGAACTTGACAAGTGGTATATAGGCCTAGCAAAGTGAATTGTAGTGCATCTGCAAACGTAATCTTAAATTCACTAAGGACTGCTAGAATTATAATGTGTGCTGCAGAAGTTTAGACTCTTGATTGGGCAATTCATAGTACTATGTGTATTTGTACATCTTCTGTGACATTACACATGTTCTTGAGCTATGTTGGAATTTCCCAGTAGAATATTTAAATAAATTCTAAAGTGCAACTGTTACAACTGTAGACAACCTACATAACTAAGTTGGTTAAAGAAGGTTCTTGTAGCTACCAACAAAATTCATTCACATCATCGTGCTAATAAAGGAAGAGACGGAGAAAACTTTAATCTGGAAGTTAGAGGAGTTGGGGTAGGGAGAAAAACGGGGGAGGGGAAAAAGCATAGTTGCTGAATGATTACAAGTAAACTGAGTGATTGAGCAAGTTTCTTCCCATGCATAGTACTGAAGTAAGGCTATTTCCCTGTACTCTAATACTTCTATTCAGACTGAGGTTGTATCTTCAGTTTCAGATATGCTGACCTGTAATATATTGTATATTATTCTAGAAATACATTATTGTGATCTGAGCAAGTTTTATGTCAGTATTAAAAATACAGAAACTCACAAGACATAGGCACAGGTTTCCTTTGTATATTTTAAGTTTACTTTCTGGAAAAAGCCCTTGATTCATTTGCTGTCTAGGGTAAGGGGGAACAATAGGCAGTAGAGATGATGATGCATCACATTTCAGAATATGTACCGCATCGTGTTAATATTATACTGCACTTGCTAATATTACATGTACAATTACAAATACAATTCATTTATAAAGTATGCAGCTGAATTCTGTCCAGTTCCTGGACTCAGTTATGAAAGTTTGGAATTAGCAAAATGGTATGTAAGAGAGGCTACTGTCAACAATGATGTGTAAGCGGAATTTGGCAGCCTTTTGCCATACATGCAGAGAATATCACAAGAAGGTCTAACCAAGAAGATAATGAGAATGAATACACGCTTACAGCTGTGAAGAGCACAAGTATAAGTTATTTATCTTACAGCATGGATAAGGGGGAAAAAATAAGAAAGGGGGATATGCTAAGTTGAAGTTAAGAGTGAGAAGACTAAGCTTTGCCACAGTGTTGTAAATGGATTCCAGGGTGTTTTGTGGAAAGACAAGCTTTTTCCAGAGGGCCAAGTTAGTCCAAAACCAATGCTGAGGGGTTGAGGAAAAAAAGATTGAAAGATTGGATCCTGAAGTGAGTGATATTGTCTGTGGGTCTACAGTAGTGCTGAGCAGAAGATGAGGCTAGAATGTGGCCAGAATATTGTGAATTACAATGGTGGTGTCTTACTTATTAACTGCTAATTCCAAAAGTAAAGAGTTGGGAGGCTTTTTTTTTTTTTCTTCTGGGGAGGGGGGGTTGGGGGAAGACCAGAAGCTTATTCAATGTAATTAACTTAAACATCTGCTTTGGCATGATTAGTATGTGCTCTTTCACCTCTTAAATTTAGCTTGAACTTCTTAAATTTAGCTTGAACCTCTTAAATTTAGCTTGAACCTCTTAAATTTAGCTTGAATTACATGCATTTGCTTTGGAGACAAAAACAATGGGAGTCATATGAGGTAGTGTGAAGTCATGTAGATGATCGCTACATCTGAGATCAGCATTACACTAGTGTTTATTTAATAGAAGGAGATGCTGAAAGTAGAGGTTTTTTCAAGTCCCTTGAAAAGTTGCATCAGGATGAGTAAGATGAATCATCCTACAAATGAACTGCCAAAAGTAAAGGCAACAGCAAAGTCAGGGTGTAAGCTAGAGCAAGAGTTCAGGGAAAAATAGCATGATGAGAGATTGAAGGCAGGAAGTGTTTTAGAGAGAAATATTGGTCCTGAGCTTAGGAGATTTGTAAAGACTGGAAACTGCTCTGGTTAGTTTAAAGAGAAGAGATTTGGTTATACAGGACAGTGACTCAAAACATGTTCTACATGCCTTGGAAGATCTCTCAACATTATAAGTAGCTACAGTATGCTGTTACTGCTATGGTCTGGATTGACAAGAAGAGCTGTAGCGTGCAAGTAAATGCATCACATGTGATTGCCTTAGAAAAGAAGGGGAAGTGTAGCACATACGCAGAACAATTTTAATGTGCACTCAAGGTTGTAGACCATGCAGGGTCAGAGTGCCTTTTCCTTGCCCACACAAAACATTTGTTTAAATTTTTTTTTTACAAGTGTTTAAAAGCTTTTGTTGCAGTTGGGTTAAAACATATCTTCAGCATGGTGTCAATTTGCTATCTCCCTGCTTTGTCTGCAGTAAAGTCCTGAAGCATTGCTTAGAACTACCTAGCAATTCCAAGAGTGAAAAGTCCTAATTTATACAAACACTTGTGTCTTCCTAAAAACATGAGGGTCGTTTAAGAGCTGAGAAATCACTAAGATCTCAAAATTTTAATATTATGAAGCAGTTTCTCTCCTTAACGTTTGAGTGTGAGATCTTAGTCATTTGCTTCTTAGATTTCAGTACTGGAAGCATTATTACTGTAACACACAGAAGACCTATGTTTATGCTATAATTCAGGCACTTTGGTTACTGCTCTACAAGATGAGTATGCTTAATGGAAAAAAGAAATCATGAAACATCATCTTTAAATGCATGTCACCATGCAGTGTCCCTGTGTCTGGTTTCTTGAGAGATGTATGTAAAGAGCTTTAGGAAAGCAATTGAAATATTTGACAGAGCAGGTAGCATAATTCCATGTGGAAGCTCATCCATGACAAACTGCCGTGGAGCTAGTTGATTATACTGCTATGTCGATATTCAATATGAAAAAAAAAAAAGGGTAAGATTTAAACCCATGGCTACTTCTTTTCAAGGAAGTTAAAAAATCATAACCTTAAAGATTAGCTTAATAGAATTTAGGTGAACCTAGTGCGATTTGCAACTTCTAATGGCCATAATACTGGTAGACAGCTAGGTCTAAAAGTAGGCTGTAGTGTAAGTTGTTCTGCAGTGTCTGATCAGTGATATACTAGTTTGTTGCCTCACTATGTGATAAAGTGAGATGTTTGTAAACAAACCTTAGAAATTCTGGAAATCGCTTCCACACTGATCTGGATGAAAGATGCCAAGGAATTGTTTTGATAGAAATCAGAAATCTGGCAAAGGTGCTGGTGCTGGTTGCCTCTTAGGTGCTAGCTGCCTAAAAGTGTACAAGTTAATCATAGTTAACATTTTCCAAAATAAAAAATAACTACATTAGCAGAGCTGTCTAATTCTGTGAACTGATAATATTTTTATAGCTCGCTTTTGTATCAATATAATGCAAAAATATATTTAGTCTTAGGAATTCTTTGAGAGCCAGGTAAGTATTGCATCCATTTTACAAACAATGAAACAGGCAAATTGGAATTCACTCATTAGGAGAACTGTAGCCAT